TTTTTTTTGCATACTGTATTTTTTGCTGTTTCAGTTGCCACCATTATATTGACAGACAAAAGTTTCCTTTGTATTCTCCAACACCTTATTTTGTCAAATGAGGACATAGTCTCCACCAAAGCACTGCAGCTACTGGCATTACTTGTACTCCAGCAGGCAGATTTTAGTATTCCCCATCTTGCTGTATGTTTAAGTATTTCATACATGTATAAGTGTTGTTGTTCTCTTCACCATACTAATAAGCATGGCCATTTGATTTGTTGCAGCTATTGGGCAATTAAAATGTGTTTGAAAATTAAATTTGTGTCTGTCTGGGTTCTTATGTGCTTAGAACGTAGCTTCATTGGAACTTTATAAATCAGAAGCGGAAGCATTGCTCTCCATTGAAGGATAAAAGCTGATTGAATTATAATAATAGTACTATGCAATTTTGCAATACTTTGCAAGTGTGTCTTTATAAGTTATATTTTAATTTTTTTTTTTTTCAAACATTTTGCAAACTGATTCCATGTCTGCTACAGGTTCTTGTAAGTCAGGATGATTGTCCATTACTCAGAATATATTTTACTCTCACTGAGTCTGAGTACTTAAAGTTTTTTTAGACTGACATTGCTCTACTTTACATTTTAGAAAAATCAGGTTCAACTGCAATTGGCATGGCTTCTAGAAAGAACTAAGTCCAAAGTATATCTTCAGCAGATCAGTGTTCTACAGTTCTGGGCGGTCTACTTCTCGACTCAGTTTACTTCATCGTGTGCTATAGTGGAGTTACTGGATGACACAGATCACACAGATCTTGTAGGTCGAGACAATACACAATTGAACATAAAGACCCAGTATTTGAGGAAGTTGCTTATTTACATTCAGCAGGCTGTTTTTAAGGTAAATGTTATGTAAATGTAAATGCCACAGGTATAGATAATATTTCATGCTGCTGCATTTCTTTGCATACGTACATATTTTTTTAATCTAGGGCTTTTTGTTTTAGCCTTCAATGAGACTGGATTTGCATTTTGCTTTAAATTTCCAAAACAAGTGGAAAATGGCCAATAATTATTTGTTTTTCTAGTGAGTAAATTCAGTTTTGCATAAAATAAAGTTAGACATTTGATTTTATCTTTGGTCCTTGATGGTATATTGATTCCTTCAAATTTATTTCAGGAAAATAGGCATTTGCAGTGCGTTGCTGTTATTTGTCTTCACAACTTGCTGACACGATACTTGAAGCCACAGGTATTGAAAACAGGTAATATTTTCAGCTAATTCTATTTTAACAGCACTGTATTGCAGTATCCAATTGCAAGCCTACATTTTTTAAACATGTCAGTTATCTCTTATCTGTAAATGGTATTTGTCTTCCCCAGCTTGCTATTATAATAAACAATTTGAGCAACATAACATATTTGATTTTTTTACATTTTCGAAAATTGTTGAAATGTTTTCTCCTGCAGGCCACAGTCTGGTAGAACAGCCATGGAATAGATTCATGCTGACCACACTGCTGGAAACCTTTGAAGCAAGAAAGACTCCAACCTGTGTGTTAGCAATTGTTAACTTGGTGAGTATATTATATATATAGAAGTTGTCAGTATGGTTCGTCAAACATACCTTGTAAATTTTCTTTGGGGAAAAAAAGAAAGAAAACACACTGCGATTTTAATATATAAAGTAACCTAGGTACATGTGTACACAGTATATACATCTACAAACACAAATAGGTTTTCTTTATTTCCATTTGCCAAGCAAAATAAGATTACTTGTAATTTTCATATTATGCACTTTTATTGAATTTGGTATTCAATTCTATAAGTGTTAAGTAAGGGCTCATTCAGAACAAGTTGATCTGTGGACTAACTGATCCGTGGATCAAAAATGGCGTCACCCTCTTGAAAGCCTGCCAAGATTTAATTGCTCTGCCCCTGCTGGGAATGTGCGTGTTGGAGGCGGGAATCCATTGTCAAGCATGCGCCATATTTGATGTGCAGACTAGTTAGTCCGTGGATCAACTTAGATGTAAATGCTCTCTCATTTGCAGCTGGTCAGCCGTGTTGGTGGAGAGTTAGTCAAAGTAAAACAGCTTGAAAACATAGTGACAGCATTTTTGAAAGGAGACTTGAACCAGGACAGTTGGTGGAACGATGTTGTTATATTTCTTCACTATGTAAGTATTTTTTCTGTTTACGCTTAAAGAAATTTCTTATAAGTCATGTAATAAGCCCAGGCCACCAGTGCAATGGAGTTCCATGCTGATATCACCCACCTCACCACAGCCATTTTGGGAATGAAATATGATGATGCATTTAATTTGTCATATTACTCAATGGAATTTTTTCCTATAAAAAATACTTTTAACTTCAAAGTTCAAGTGAATCATTGATCTGTTTGCTAAGAGATCAAATATTCAGTCTAGATTTTAATAAACTACATGCACACTTATCAAGCATTTGCTGACTATGTGTACCTTAGACTTCAGTCAGTGATGTGTTTGAATAGTAGCATATTATATTCAAACTTGTATAATATATATTTTTCAGTCACATGTATCTGTTGTTTATTATTTGTTTTATTTTAGGTGTGTCATAATCATATATTAGATTCCAACCTTGAGAAGAAAGTTATCAACAAGCTTGAAGAGAATCACCAATATACTGACCAATGTAGACAAAGTGATGATACCAAGAAAATATCAAAGATGTATGCAATATTTGACAGATCTATAAATGCCTAAATGGATTCTTATTTTGTCTGATCTACTGATCTACAAAAACTACAAACTACCAAGGTGGAAAAGTGGGCATGATGTTATAATATGTTGTTATATTCATTTTGATAAAGTCTATCTTATCAATAATTCCAATGTTTTACTAAATATATAGATAATATGTGATCTGAAATGGATTTATATGTAATCAACTAAAAAAAAACTTGCTGTGATAGGGAAGAATTACACATAGACTAGTTGTTAACACAATTATTGTACCTTATAGATATGAGTGAATTTGAAAAAGAAAACAGTAAATGTTATTATGTCAAAGAAAACTTACTTGTGCTTTCGTTGCGAACAGTGTGAATGTTGTCAACTAATAGATGTGACATAATTTAATCATGTTTATTTTCCTGTAACTTGATAACCTTTATTACTTGCAAGGTGTATCCCTTAGTAAGGAACTATGCTGCCCCCCACCTCCCCCCTCTGCACCTCCCCGAGCTTTAGTGGAACACTCTTCTCCTCCTCTACTATCCAAAATTAGAACAAAAAGTGAATCAATGAGACAAAACTGACTAATTTTCCATCCCTGTGTCATAAATTTTACAGCAAAATTGTCTGCTATTTTGTTTTTGTTTTTTTGTTTGTTTTTTTTAATTAAGGAGGAAAAAACAACAGAATCCATTGACACTGTGTCTAAAGGAATAAGAGATGAATGTAAATGATTGTTAGTTTGAAAGTCCAATATATTGCATAAATATCAATAATAAAAGGTCACCTCAAAGCTTGATATCAAATACAGGTTCCCTCAATAAACCATTAGAAAAAGATTCTAGATTTGGAATTGATGTAGTGTTTCATTTAACTGGGTTACTATGACTTAATTGAATGGCAACTCGGTGACATTGAGTTGATGTCCACTTGAGACGGCCTGTAATAAGATTACCTACAGCATGTTGGTTCACAGTGTAAGGACACAGATTGAACTTGATCCAAAGAAACCCTCAAAATATCAGTTGGGAAATTCAGTTGCAGCCTTTGCCATTTGAATTTCTTTTTTTAATCTCTTTAGCTTTGAATAGACACCTTAAGGCTTATCTTTGCAACTCGCGTTTAATTTAATTCAATCATTTTGAGTTATTTTACACACAGTAGACTTTCGACATGGTTGAGCAATGTTAAACTTTAAAATATAGAAAGCATTTATGTCAAGGAATAGTGGTGAAAACTGACATTTCATTAGGGGGATACTTGTTTACCCCACTTCTACCTTTGAAAGATCATTGATGAAAGGGAGGCAACGTGATTAAGGGGGGGGGGGGGTAAAACAATAAAAAGTGTCAGTAAATTCATAAGAGAATCACATTTTGATATAAGCCAGGCGTATTTTTTTTCTATATCACATTCTTTATTCTCAGTATGACATTCATAACAGGAAGGGGTTCTCAGGGGGATACCGGTTGATTCATTGTTAGTGTTATTTTTCACCTTTATGTCCTTTTAACTTATCTTAACTTCAAAGTTGCATCTCACTCTTTTAAGAGTATTATAGTACCACTATTTCGCCTGTACTATTAATGAAGAACAAACATCTTTTTGAGAGCCTAAAAGATTTATTCGTATATTCTTATTTTCCATTTACAATGTATTCTCTTTTATCCTATAGAGCGTCATTCCAATGTCATGATGTATCACAAAGTCTTTCTCCTACATTACCTTATTTGGTAATGTAATAATTCCTCAGCTCTTACACAATGTCTATGATTATCCCTTTTTCCATAACTTTCCATCATTACGTCATTACCAAAATGTAATCATTCTCTTATTAGGCAATGGTATGTTACTTGACCTTAGGTTGCAATTTCTATTAATACAGATTTTTCATTGTATCATCCTGAAGGAATGATAACTATACTCCCTTATTCTTTTGTTATTATTGAACAACACATGCACTCTTTGACCCCATTTCCTATATGCAAAGATTTTAAAAAATTAAATTTCATCTGAAGAGACAAATTTAACATCAAAACTGTCTTTGTCGGCGCGAAAGAAAAGAAAAGCATTCCAACCCACACTCCTTCCTCAATATCGACGTTTTTTTTTCCCAAACCAGGTTCAAGATGGAAATGCTTTTTACTGAGGCACGGGAGGGGGAAATAACGACAGTTTTTTCTTTGATGAAATACATAGCAAGAAAATCGTGTTAAGTAAGTGAACTGAGATTTAGGGTTTATCAGGTATTAGGTCATAAAAACATTTTAGACATAATTTGTATATGCTTAACCATAGAAGTAGAGATCTTCTGAATCTGAAACTATTTCCATCATTGTACCACATTTCTTCTCATTACACATAACAAATGCCATCTTAATAATGTGCACCTTTCTCACAATTTGGATCTTTTTTACAAAATCATCGCATCATGTTCAGGCTTTCCAACATCAATCCGTATATTCCCTTTTTTCAAGTTGCCTACCGTTTCTCTTCTGCCTCATCCATCACCCAGTAGATAAATTCACAATCAAAGAAAGAGAGCAAACACTTCTAGCGGGTTCAGATACTTGGGTAAATCCAACTTATACCAACTGAGAGCAGAGCTGGGTGCATGTAACTGGCTCTCAGTATACACCAGGGCCTTCCGAGATACCCCCACCCCTTCGATGAGAAAATATCGACTTACGTGTAGGTTGCAAAATTTTATGCTGGGTCACAGATGTGTGTGCATCACGTATAAAGCTTAAGTAGTACAATTAAATTTACAAAATCCGCCAATCTCTTTGATCTTGCTGAATGCTACCGCCGTGTTGTCTGTATGCCACCATAGTGAAATTAATTTTTTATGTATTTCTATTTGAATCACGATGCAATATGAAGGCAAAACGTGGAAGTTTGAAAATATTCAGTTGAATTCTTGCTGGGACGCTCTCTGAAGCTCCCAGACTGCCCCAAGGTCCCCAAAGAAAAAAAATATGACTATTATATGACCCAACCTACACTGTTTCTGATGCCTTAGTGAAATATGAGTCGTGTTATGTGTTTTCATATGAGCCCCCTTCCCCTCCCCCTGTCAGTGAACACTAGCATCTTCTTCTTACTGAGAATAGTTGCTTAATTCTTAAGATTATTTATCATCTTAACTCGTAGAATCCATTTGGAAATCTGAAAATGACGGAGAACTTGTATGTATTGGCTCCCAAAGCCGTTTTTTCCAAAGCTGCTAGTTTGCCGTATATAATCAAGCGACAGCAAACATTTGCAACAGGTACTGGTAAATATAATCTCAAAGTATTTACAAATAACAAGGCATTATATTTATTAAATGACTGCTTCTAAAACATTTCATATTAAAGAGCAAATCAAGTAAATGACAATCATCGTTTTTGCTGGCTAAAATAGATTTTTAGCATCTTCAAAAAATCCAAGGGTAGCATAAAACACTACTACCATTTTGCGTCCTGTTCTATGACATCGCCGCCTATCCCCTGCTTATATTACCCAGCCAATATAAATCGTAGCTATGCTGTTTCTAAAACGTCCATTGCTTTAGATGTACGTGTTCTCTCTTGGGTGAGAGTGAATCCCCCCACCCCCACTCACTTTTGCCAGTCTCTCACTTGAATCTTCTAGACCTACATATTGAGAATAATGTCTTTTTATATACATTTATATCCGTAAGATATTTGATTATTTTTTATTCTTTTTATTAAATGTCAGTCTGTATACACTTTATTGATGAAGGGGTTCCATAGAATCTCAATCTTTGGGCGTTTTTTCCATCTTTTTACTAGATGTTTGTATACACTACATGTACATTACTAAATTAAAAATAGATTTAAAGAAAAGATGACTACATTTTTCAAACTACACAGCTGTGCATGCAGATAATCCCACGCCATCTGATGATATCATCTTTTGCAACAAGAAAGAACCAGTTTGGTCTGAGGTGTAAAAAGTTGCAAGGACAGAAACTATCGCTGGCTGTCAATTATCGTCAGTTCTAAGACTATTGGCAAGCAGCAGTTTTTACGCCCCCAGTCCTTACCACAAAACGGTTCTTTCGCAAAAATAATCAGTTCCATGTCGTTACACAAATTGCAGAAGAACCATTCGTTAATTGTACCCAAGAAAGAATTGAAGCTAAGTAAACATACAATGAACACACATTTTGTAATTCATCAATCCAATCTGTCTATATGTCATGTGCCTCAGTCAAAATGTTGACTTGTTGTATTGTAACATAAACTAGCTCACAATATTTACGTGTAAATGGTAGCGGGCAGGCAGGGTAATGATACATATTTTTTTAAATCGCTACCT